GGAATGGTGGCGTCAATCCCTGAAGTTCACTCAAAGTCACCATTGTTTATTCAGCAGGCCCCACTTCCTAGTGGGGAAAAAAAGAGAGAGGGAGAGGGGGAGGGAGGGGGAGGGAGGGAGGAAGGAAAAGAAAGAAAGATAGGGGCCTCCTGAGGATCAAAGGCTGACCTCTGGCCTCTACATGCATGTAAAGTGCTTGCATCCACACAATAAGTAAACAAACCCATTTATCCATTGCTAAAGTTCCCTTACCTCTTAAATCTGCATCTTTCTAAAGGGAAGAGAGTCCAAGTTGATGATCTGAAAAATGTCTTGATGAAGCTGGGTCTGGTGCTCCCTGACAAAGCATTCAGGGATCTGCAGAAAGTGCTGTCAGTTTATGGTGAGTGCTGAGGTGGATTGGGGTGGAGATGTGAATGCTTCTGGAATTATACACTTGCATCCCAGAAGACACAGTTCTCACAGCAGGAGAAATCTTGTTGCCTGTTCTTGAAGGCTGACAATGTCTCTCACAAACTTCTGCCATCAAACTTAAATGTCCCTGCTGCCCTGGGCATACTGCCAGCTCTAAATGATGACAAGAAGGGCAGCGGAGAGATGACTTGGCCATTCTGAGCGCTTGTTGCTCTTGCAGAGGACCAGGGTTTGGTTCTGAGCCCCCACAAATCACCTCAGACCTATCTGTAACTCCAGTTCCAGTGGCTCTGATACTCTCTCTGGACTCCGCACACATGTAATGCACAAAACATCCACACACAGTTTTCAAAAAGAAGAGGAAAAGAAAAGAAGAGGGAGAAAGGGGGGAAGTCAGACTTTAATTCAACCAATGTATATACTTATAACTCACTTCTTCATACTGGGTTCCGTTCTTACGTCATGGTAAAAGTAAACGTCTAAACAAATCAGAAGGGTTGTTTGAAAGGTTTTCATAAAATCATGCATGCCACCTTGTGTTTGTGCTGTCTTGGTCAGCTTCCCAACAATTAACTTATACCCTGAATGCTATCTTACCTTACAGCTGGTAAGAAGATATATAAGAAGCGACTGCTAAAGTGCGTGAAGGGTCTCAAAGGTGAGTGAGACACGTGGTGAGAAAGCAAGTAAAAACCCTTGGCCAGGTGCAGTGGCACATGCCTAACGCGATTAAATAAGGATCAAGATAAACAAATAGGCTGAATAGATGTTTATTCAGGGAGAAATAACTTACAACCTAGACAGATAAACACCAGGAAATTCAACCCGATCCTCTCCTGTCCAAGTCACACCAGAAAGAGAGCCTTTCCTGGCCCCCTCCTACCTCCTTCCACACATGCCAATAACCCTCCTCCTTGTGAAGCTGAAGCAGGAAGGAAAATTGTGAGTTCAGATCCTGTGCGTACTATATAGCAAGGCCCTGTATCGAGGGGGGGGGGGTGGACGACACGTTCATGTTTACTGTTAACTCTTAAAATGTTCCAGCTTTGCTTCCTGCCAATGTATTGATCCATCAATATGACTTGTAACTTTCTTCTCATGTTTGAATGCATGAACTTAGAGAGACATAGGTTAAGTATCCTATTACTGTAGAAAATCCTAACCGTTTTCTGGTTAGATTTGTGTAGGCTGGCTGTTTCAATCATAAGACATTAGACTGGCCTTCTCCTCTGTTGATTTCTCATGGAAACTGAAGACCCCTGGACTGGTTTAAAGGAAATATCCCATTTCTAGATTATATACTCTATGCAAATCACTGTCCTTTAAATTTGGTGTGTATGTTGTATTTTGGAAGGGGTTGTTTTTTGGGGTTTTTTTGGCGGGGGGGGGGGGGAGATAGGACCTTATTCTGTAGCCCAGGTGGCCTGAAATTCATTTTGTAGCCCAGGCTAGTCTCCAATTTTCAACAATCCTCTTATCTCAGCCAGTTAAGTGATGGTACAAGAACAATCCACCACACCAGGTGTTTGTTTGTTTGTTTGTTTGTTTTTAAATTAGGAGACTACATTTTAAAGTGCTACCAGAGGCTGAGACAGGAAGATTTCATGTTTGAAGCCATCCTGTACAATGTAGCCACACAATTTTTAAGGACGTGATGGGGGTGTGACTCAATGGTAGAGTGCTTCCTAGCATATGCAAGTCCCAGATTCAATTCTGAAAAAAAAAAAGAAAAAACTACCGGAAAGTTCTCCAACTTGAGAAATAACCACATCTCAAGAAAAATAACTACTTGAGAAGTAAAAGCCAAGTAGAGTAGAAGCTGGAGAGACAGTTCAGTGGCTAAGAGCACTTACTGCTCTTGCAGAGGACCCAGGTTCAATTCCCAGCACCCGCACTGTAGTCACAACCATCCTTAACTCCAGTTCCAGGGGATCTGATGCCCATCTGACCTCTGTGGGTATCAGGCATGATCATGGTATACATAAATACATGTGAGCAAAATACTCATATACCTAAAATAAAGTAAATAAATCTAATTGAGGTGGCAATGTCATTGAGGGAAAATCCAGTGGGGTCCTAACCTGAGATGAAAAGCTACAGTTAATGACTACTGAGAGAAAGAGATTCTCCCCTAGGAATGAGTCCCCTACTGGTTATTCAATAGCAGGTGGTCAGTCCTCAAAACTCTGTGTGTGTGTATGCAATACTAAATGAACTAAGTAGATTGTATTTATACATACATACATATATATATATATATATATACACACATGTGTGCATATATATGTATGTATGTATATGTATGTGTGTGTGTGTGTAAAACAATAATTAAAGAATAAGTAACCATGAATTTGAAAGGAGGACATGGGAGGGTTGTAAGGAGGAGGATAGAGAAATTTATATAACTATATTTTAATTTTTTAATATTCTGAAAGTTTGTAAAATGTCAGGCAGAACAATGCCCCTTTTATTCCCAGTACCCACATTAAAAAAACAAGAACAAAAGAAAGGCAAAAGTCTCCTTGTCTTCCACAGATGTAATCCTTCCATTAAAGACAAACACTGTTAACAAGTGAATGCTATTCCCTCAGTTTTTTCTACCGTTAGCAGATATATCTAAATCTTGGACATGCATACATTGTTTCCTTGGGCTCTAGCGGTTAACCTCCCAGTAGAAGTTTCTGATGTGTGAGCACAGTCAGTTCTTTTCATCTGTAAGAAACAATGCCCACATTCTCATCCCATGCCCTTCTTTCCTAAGGGCCACGGGCCAAAATTAAAAAGGTTGAATCTCTCTTGGAAAACCTGGGAATTAAGATCACAGATGAAGAACTTGAAGAACTAATGTCCCAACTACCATCTGATGGTGAGTATTGCAGACACGACCCTGTTCATCAGAGAAATGCAGCCCTCTGTGAACACGGACTCTGAGTCTCCTCTGGGCCTGTTCCTCCTCCTGACCATCTCAGTGTCTTCATATAGATCAGGGGTTTTAAGCTTACTGTGCCATGGACCTGTTTCTGCATCTGCTGTAACAGTACCCTTCTGAGTAAAATTTTTGAAGCACAGGATTACAAAGTATCATACTGAATTACAAATCATACTGAAATATAGTTTATCAAAACATTCAAATTACAAATGGTTAGTACTTTTTAAAGAACTTAAGTTCTTCCAGCAGGTCAAATTGTTGTCACTTTAAAATAGAGATGGGTGTATGCAACATTTTAACATATTTGCAACAATAACACTAACATGAACCTTGCTTGGGTGATTTATACTAGTGACAAAATTACAAGTTCTGCTGTCTATGGTTTGCTGTCTAAGGAATCTGGAAGGAAAAAAAAATACTAAGTTTCAGTTAGTTGTTAGTGAAAATAAGTATAGATTTTTTTCCCCATTCAAGCTCAAGAAATCCTTGAATTCTATCAGTACATGAACACCCAGTTAAGAACCCCTGAGAGTCATCCAGATCCCCTGTTCCCTGGCATTTCACAATATAAGCTTTCTTTGTTTCTAAGGTAGCACTATTAACTCTATAGGTAAATCCATAAAATTCTAAGGAAAACTAGAAAAAGGTCACTGAATTCTTAGGCTCTTCACAGTTTCAGAAGATGGTGAGTATAACTTTTATGAATCTTAGAAACATGAAATTATCTTCCCTCATAGGTAACAAAACAGTGGATCTGAATGAACTGATGGATATCGTCAGTTACATCAAAAGTAAGTTTCAAGCCATGATAGGAAACACTTATAAATAACATTTCCTATACTTAGCAATTAATACTGGGCAAGTATCTTTCCCATTCATAAGGTTGCTCCACCACTGCCCAGCAAGTTTAGACTCTTTTATATGGCATCTTCCCCTTTCTGGATTCACTGAACTCAGATAAGTCATAACATGTATTTATACTGATAGTTATAGTATTGTATGAAATCCCCCCCCCCGAAATTTCCAATATAGAATAACAGGTTCATCACTGAAGGAAGTCAAAACAGAAGCTCAAACAGGGCAGGAACCCGGAGGCAGGAGCTGATACAGAGGTCATGGACGGATGCTGCTTACTGGCTCACTCATCATGATTACACAACCCGCTTTCTTGCAGAACTCAGGACCACCAGCCCAGGGCCGTGCCCCCCATTAATCACTTATTTTAAAAATGCCTTGCAACAGGATCTTATGGAGGCATTTTCTCAACTTATGTTCCCTCCCTTCAGATAACTCTAGTTTGTGTATCAAGTTGATGTAAGACTAGTCAACACAGATATCAAAACCATAGAACTAGTCACACCCTTTACTCCAAACAACTCTCCTAGAAAAGTATCCTAAAGGAATACTTTACTGAATAAAATTTAAAATCCTGTTTCAATATTTTTGTTCTCATAATAAGCAGTAAGGAAACTATAATAGGTTAGAAATATCTAAGTGGATAGATGAGAATCACTATACAAACCATTACATAGTAAGAGAATCACAAACTTGAGATTAGCCTGAACTTCATCAAGACTTTGTCTTTAAAAAAAAAATACAATGTTAGTTAAGTGGGATAGCATGTATTAAAACACTAACTATAAAGATTATGTGGAGTATTCACTTGACTGCATATACACTAAATTAGAAGACTACACAGAAGGTTGGTGTGGTCCCTGCACAATGATGATACACAAAAATTCATGAAGTAGTCCATATTTTTCAAGATATATAAAGAACTGCCAAAAACAAACACATAAACTAGGTGTGGTGGTGCATGCCTTTAATCCCAGCACTGAGGATGCAGAGGCAGGTGGATCGCTGAGTTCAAGGCCAGCCTGATGTACACAATGGGTTTCAGAACAGCCAGAGCCACACGGAGAAACCCTGTCTCAAAAAAACCAAAAACAATAAATAAACACCTAAAGTACAACTTCCCCAGTTAACAAATAATCTAATAAACTGAATAAACAGTTCTCAAAAAGGAAATGCAAATAGCCAATACATGTTTTAAAATGTTCTCAACATCCTTAGCTAGGATAGGTAAGTCAAATCAAAACTGCTTTGAGACTCCATCTTACCCCAGTCAGAATGACTGCATCAAAAAAATCAAAAAATGTATGGTGGAGGATGTGGGGATAGAGGAACACTCATCACTGCTGATATAGGGAGGAGCACTCATCACTGCTGATGTGGGGAGATAGAAACACATTCATCACTGCTGATGGGATTATAAACTTGTACAGTTAGTGTTGAAGTCAGTCTTTCAAAGGCTGAAAGTAGAACTTCAGTTATGAAATATGACACAGTTATCTCGTGGGTAAATACTGGAAGTACTCTGATCAGTTACCACAGAATACTTGCTTGCCCATGTGCTATTCATAATAGCCAGGAAATGTAACCAGTCTAGATGTCCCAGATGAGTGATGGGTGGTGGCGGCGGTGGTGCATGCCTTTAATACCAGCTCTCAGGAGGCAGAGGCAGGCAGATCTCTGTGAGTTCAAGGCCAGCCTGGTCTACAAGAGTCACTTCCAGGACAGCCTCCAAAGCCACAGAGAAACCCTGTCTCGAAAACAACAAACAAAAATAATTCAAAAACAAATAAGTGGATAACACAAAACAATGGAATCTTAATCAGTCATAAAGAAAAGTGAAGTCCCCCAGCCTGATAGGTAGGAAACCAGCATAAGACTGACCCAGACCCCCTGAACATGGGTGTTAGGAGGACTGGATGGTCTAAGGGGCCTCTGGTAGTGGATTAGTATTTATCCTTAGTATACAAATGGACTTTGGGAGCCCACTCCACAGAGAGGGATACTCTCTCAGCCTGGACACATGGGGGAGGGCCTAGGCCCTGCTCCAAATGATATGACAGACTTGAAGATTCCCCATGGAAGGCCTCACCCTCCCTAGAGAGTAGACAGGGGATGGGATGGGAGTTGGGAGGGGGACAGGGGAGCAGGGGAGGATGAGGGAACTGGGATTGACATGTAAAAAAGCTTGTTGCAAATTTAAATTTAAAAAATATTAGAAAGAAAGAAAAGTGAAATCATAAAAGTTTCAGAAAAATGGAAACTGCAAATCATTATGGCAAATAAATTAAGCCAAACTCACAAAGATAATACATATTCTCCCATTTGAGCAGGAGTAGGTGTGTGTGTGTGTGTGTGTGTGTGTGTGTGTGTGTGTGTGTGTGTGTGTGTGTTTACAAGTGTACATTTGTAGCTCATCAAACTAGAAAGGGGATCATGAGGGGGAGAAGAGATCTTAAGGGAGTAAGTCATAAAGAGATAAAGAGGACAGTAAAGTACATGTTCTAGGAAAGAGAGTACTAACTGGGGAGAAAGGACCAGTTGGAGATGGGGAGGAGTGAGGAGGAAAGGCAAACCAAAGCAAACTGGCACATTACAAAGATGCTATAATGAAATCTGTTACTTTATATCCTGACTTGAAAAGTTCATTTTAAAAATGTTAGCATTTTAAAAGATTGTGTAGTACCTTAAAAAAATATTTATAAATAAATTATTTTGGGGGTTGTACAAGCAAAATACAAGCCAAGCATGGTTGTACACACCTATAATTTTAGCACTCAGGAAGCTGAGGCAGGAGAATCACAAATTTGAGATCAGCCTGGTCTTCATAGTAAAACAAAATACAAAATTATATTTACATCAGATTTTCATGTTATATAAATACAGTCATTGTTAAACACACACAAAAAAAAAAAAAAAAAAAAACAAACCTGAGTATCGTTTTTGCATAGGGTTGGGGTTTCTTGCCCCTACCACCTTTTATAGTTAGTAGCCTTTGGTGTGGTTAGATCTTACAATTAATAAGAAAAACTATTCTGTGTGTTGAGATGAGATGAATTTTTGGAATGCATAGTGACCAAAGAAGTAAATTACAGAAAAATGTAGTTAAAGTCAACAAAAACTGAAGCGTTCACTAGTGTGAATTTCCAGGTACAATGATATACACCTGCAGTCCCAATCTACTCAGGAAACTGGGGCAGGAAAACTACATATTTGATGCCAGCCTGGGTAACATAGGCAACATGAGCAACTCAAAGAAACCTTGTGAAAAAGAAGGGAGGCTGGTAAATAGAGAAAAAAGATGGATATCCAAATGGGACAGAAGACACCAGGTTCTTCACAGCCCACGGAGTTTCAAATCCTGGAGTCCTTTGTCACCTTCTGCTGGTATACCACAGCAGAACTATAGCAGGACTTCCCAGTTTTCCTTGTCATTCCACATGTACAGGGCAACAGTTGTCATCCTTTGTGAGAATTGTCTCTAATAAATCTGCACCCCATTTCTCATCCTTTCTAAGGAGACGCAATTGACACCAAGAACTTGGACAAGTTCCTAGCCAATGAGGGGATCGAGCTCACAGAGGAAGAGATGAAAAACCTGATGCCTCACCTGAAATTAAACGGTGAGGGTTTCTGCATGCAAGGTGGTTGGTGTCTTCCTAAAGGTGCCTTTGCAACTAGCATAGAAGATCCTCAGAAATTATCTTTTCAAAAAGCAAGTTGGGGAGGGAAGAATTTATCCAGTTTACACTTACTCATCATCAAAAGCAGGAGAGGAACTCAAACAGGGTGGGAACCTGAAGGCAGGTGCTGATGCAGAGGCCATGGAGAGGTGCTGCTTCTAGCTGGCTTCCTCAGGCTTGCATAGCCTGCTTTCTTTCTTTGTTTATATATTTATTTTTTTATTTTTATTTTACATATTGATCCCAGTTCCCTCTCCCTCCCTTTCTCTTTCCCTCTCTCCCTCCCTCTTTCCCTCTCTCCCACCCTCACATGCACCCTGACCACCCTACTCTCCCATCCCCCCACCCCTGACACCACATGTAGAGTGATGCCCTCCAGGAGGGGTCATCTAAATCTGTCAAGTCATTTGCAGTAGGGACTAGAACTTCTCTCCTGTCTCTAGGTTAAGGGAGTATCCCTCCATGGGGGATGTGCCTGCAAAGTCCTTTTGTATACCAGGAATACATCCTGGTTCCACTGTCTGAGGTCCTTTAGACTGCCCAGGCCTTCTAGCTGAGGCCCATGTTCAGGGGGTCTGAGTCAGTCCAATGCTGGATTCCCAGCTATCAGTCTGGGGGCCCATTAGCTCCTACTTATTCAGGTCAGCTGTCTCTATGTATTTCTGCAGCCTGGTCTTGTCCTCTCCATCTGCATCTGGATTCCAGTTTGGCTCAGTGTTTAGTTGTGGGTGTTTGCTTCTGTTTCCATCAGCTACTAGATGAGGGCTCCATGATGGTGAATAAGTTAGTTGTTGATCTCATTATCAGGGAAGGGCATTTATGGTAGCCTTTCCACTGTTGCTCAGATTGTTAGTTGGGGTCAGTCTTGTAGGTCTTTGAACATTTCTTTAGGTTCAGTTTTCTCTTCAAACCTATAATGGCTCCCTCTTTTATGGTCTCTCTCTCTCTCTCTCTCTCTCTCTCTCTCTCTCTCTCTCTCTCTCTCTCTCTCTCTCTCTCTCTCTCTCCTATTCCTACCCTGACTCAATCTTCCTAGTCCCATGTGCTTTCCTCTCTTCCCCTTCTCCTTCTCCTAGTTCTCTCTCCATCACTGCCCCCCCACTCCCCATATGCTCTGGAGATCTTGTCCCTTCCCTCTTCTGTGAGGGACCTTATATGAATCTCTTAGAATCCTCCTTGTATCCTCTGGCAGTGTAAATTATAGGCTGGTGATCCTTTGTTCTATGTCTAAAATCCATATATGAGCAAGTACATACCATGTTCCTCTTTTTGTGACTGGGTTACCTCATTCAGTTTCTTCAAGTTCCATCCATTTGCCTGCGAATTTCAAGATTCCATTATTTTTTTTTTCTGCAGAGTAGTATTCCATTGTGTAGATGTGCCACATCTTTATCCATTCTTCAGTTGAGGGGCATCTAGGTTGCTTCCAGGTTCTTGCTATTACAAATAATGCTGCTATGAACATAGTTGAGCACATGTCTTTGTTGCATGGATGTGGATCATTTGGGTATATGCCTAAGAGGGGGATAGCCATGTCCTGTGGTAGACTGATTCCTATTTTTCTGAGGAACCGCCATACTGATCTCTAAAATGGCTGTACAAGTTTGCACTCCCACCAGCAGTGGAGGAGTGTTCCCCTTTCTCCACATCCTCTCCAGCATAAGTTGTCATTGGTGTTTCTAATTTTAGCCATTCTGGCAGGAGTAAGATGGTATCTCAAAGTTGTTTTGATTTGTATTTCCCTGATAGCTAAGGATGCTGAGCACTTTCTTAAGTGTCTTTCAGCCTTTTTGATTTCCTCTATTGAGAATTCTCTCTTCAGTTCTGTACCCCATTTTTAATAGGGTTTTTTTTTTTTTTGGTGTTTTGTTGACTAGTTTCTTGAGTTCTTTGTATATTTTGGAGATCAGCCCTTTGTCAGATGTAGGATTGGTGAAGATCTTTTCCCAGTCTGTGGGCTGCACTTTGGTCTTGTCCACTGTGTCCTTTGCCTTACAGTTTGAGGAGATCCCATTTATTAATTGTTGATCTCAGGAAGCAGAGACAGGTAGATTTCTGTGAGTTCAAGGTCTACAGAGTGAGTTTCAGGGGATCCAGAGCTACACGGAGAAACCCTGTGTCAGAAAAAAAAATTAAAGACCTGCAGCAGAGCCCACAGGACTCCTCAGCCTGGCCCCCACGCCCGTCCTGTAATGCAAACCGCTGAACCATGATTCTCTAGCACAGC